TACTATGTCACATGTTACTGTGTCACATGTTACTATGTCACATGTTACTATGTCACATGTTACTGTCTTACCTGTTACTGTGTCACATGTTACTGTGTCATGTGTTACTGTCTTACCAGTTACTGTGTCACATGTTACTGTGTCAAATGATACTGTGCCACATGTTACTGTGTCACATGTTACTATGTCACATGATACTATGTCACATGTTACTGTGTCACATGCTACTATGTCACATGTTACTATGTCACATGTTACTGTCTTACCTGTTACTGTGTCACATGTTACTGTGTCACATGTTACTGTCTTACCAGTTACTGTGTCACATGTTACTGTGTCAAATGATACTTTTAAATATTACTTTGTGTCAAATGATATTATCTCAGGTGTGTCTGTCAGCTGAACTAGAACTGAATCAAATAAAATCCTAGGGCTAGTTAGATAACGACATTGTACATGAACGTGTATTCAAGCCTTCAACGTATTACATATCTTAATCAATCAAGGCCTTTCAAGATTATCAATCAAGTATATTCCTGAAGCATCTCTGTTAAAAGACGAGTATGAAATGAAACTGTTTTGCTCTATTTTCCAAATTTACCATGGACTAAAGGCACTTACCCCTCTACGCACGACAATGCCTTTTTGTCGCCCATAATCATACATGCGTTTGAGAGCTTCTGCACTGGGGGCTGCTATAAACACCACAAAGGGCATGAACTCGGCTGTCTTCAGGATCTTCAGCGACTGTAATATGACATAAACATGCAGAGTTTGGTAAATCTTTAAATATACTAGATTTTGTGTCCCATTCAACAGTCCTGTACGCACCCATGCAAGCCTGTCCGCACACACACTAGATTTGATGTCACGTCACAGAGACAATACAAGTGTCAAACCTGTGTTAATGTAAACAAAGTGAAACACAATACTTGTCATGTCACCAAAGGAAAAGAACTTTAAAAACTATTTTGATATTTTTTATTATTATTGAGAAATGTAATATCTATTGTCATTTAGCCACTTTTCCTTTTTGGCCCACCCCTGGGATAGGTCAGGATCTTAGTTTCTGTTACTATTTGATTTCAATTTCATTATAACTATTCCAACCAAGTTTTAAATATTTCTTGCTGAAAATGGACAAGATATAGTCAAAAGCGTTAATTCCCTATATAAACCATTGTAAAGTTATCTCCTCCTCAAGGAGAACAGATGCCCCAAGGGTAATACAACTAAAAACGTATATAATGCACCAATATATGCATTCCCATCCATGAAAGAAACTTGCTTCTTGAACAACTGAGTATGAAGATTTTGAAATTTCAGCCATTTTCCCCTTTTTGGCCCAAACTCTCTCCAGCCCCTTGGGTAAGGACAGATCTTATTTTCTCATACGAACTAATTGCCATCTCATCACAATTATTCCAACCGAGTAGGAATAATTTCTTTGCTGAAAATAGACAAATTATACCCAAAAGTGTTATTTACCTAAATACACTATAATAAACTTTACCCTCTCCCCAAGGGACAGCAGGGGTGATGAAACTTACAACTTAGTTAATGCATCTTTTTAAAGGACCTTTCTATCCATGAAGAGTATTTAATTGTAGTAAATCTGAGTCTGAGGAAGTTGTTTTTTTAACTTTTAGCCATTTTCCCCATTTTTGCCCCACCCCTCCAGCCCCTGGGGCAACCCAGAATCTTATTTTCTCATACCAACTAACTGACATCTGGCATCATAATCCTAATTTCCTGTTTAAATGGACAAAATACACCCAAGTGTTATTTCCCTATACATTGTATAAACTTCAGTTAACTTTACCCCTCCCCCAGCGAGAAAGGATGGCCCAGATGTAATGAAATTCACAATAAAGATAAAGCCCCTGATGATCTTTTCATCCATGCAGAGATTTGATTGTAGCATATCTGAGTCTGAAGAAGAAGACTTTTGAAATATTGGTAAATTTTCCCTTTTGGGCCTCGCCTTTGCCCCTGGGGATGGGGCAGAAATCCTTATTTTACGTGTGATATCTTCTTCTACCAAGGGCGATTTCTGACCAAGTTTGAAAAAATTCCATCCACTGGTTCTTTAAAAGGAGTCAAAAATGTAAACAGTTTACTGACGACAACAGACGAAAGGTGATCTGAATAGATCTAAAAAAATAATATTACGGAACTTACCGTAGGATTGACGTCAAGCACACACATTTTCCCAGCATTGGTGACGTGGTTAATAGAGTCTATCTTTGTGCCGTACAAGTTGCCGTTGTATTCTCCATACTCCAGGTAAAGCCCGGCCTTAATGTCATCCTCCATTGTCTCACGGTCAGTGAAAAAATAGCCTTTCCCGTTCACTTCACCATCTCTCATCTCCCGACACGTGTCTGTAACAGAACGCCCCCTCCCTGTTACTTGTCACTCCAAATATTTGGTTTACCTTCGACAAAATTTTACAAGAGGCCCAGTGGGCCTGCATCACTTACCTCCTCTTATTCTAAGTATAATTGACCTTGGTCCACGTTTAAGCTTAAATGTGGACCAAGGTCAAATATACTTTATTAGCCTCAATAAAGCTATAGGATAAATATCCTTACCTATTACTTTTGGTTATTAACTCATTTACCCCTGAAGTCACATATGAATCCTTCCAATATAAAGGTTGGAATAGTTCATTATGAAACTTCAGGGGTGAATGAGTTCAAAAACCCACAGGTTTTAAGATTTTAACATGTTTTATGCCAGTGACCTTGAAAGTCTAACAACATCATTCAGTTGAACAAACTTGGTAGCCCTTCATCCCAAATATCATCACCCTGTGGCTCTTGGCTATTGAGAAGAAATTGTTTCTGTTTTTCCTACATTTTTATTCTTTTGACCTAGAAAGTGGGTCAAGGTCATTTCTTTTTACAAATATTATCACCCTACGGCTCTTGGTTACTCAGAAGAAATGATTTAAAACAATTTTTAGAACTTGTGACATCTGTGACCTTTAATTTCAGTTGGCCATTAATTTGAACATAATTGATAGCCCCTGATTCTATCTTCTGGCCAATCATCACCCTTAGCCTGATACCCCTTCTCATCATGGCTTTCTGTCAACCAGAAAGGACTATATATGGTTTAGGCCTTTTTTGGCCCCCAATTTATCGAAATTCAAAATCTTCAATAACATTTTAAAATGACTGTTTCTTTAATTTTGAATATTTCCTCAGTACTCTTATGTAAACATTGATTTATGTTTTCAATTATGGCTGCCATGGTTACCAGTTAATATTTGTGTAAATTAATGAAATTTTAATATTCAGTCTTTTTTGACAGGTTTTCGCCTAGTTTTTCTCTTAGCTATCATAGAGCACATTCTTGAACAAACTTTATATTTCTCCTCAAGATGTATTACAGGTACATTATCCTTTGATATTAAGTTTGTTCAAGCATGCGCTCTATAGTTTCAAGGAGAGAAACTACGCAAAATATGACAATATTCACTTAATTATCAATTTTTTCTAATTTATGCTTTGAACTTGTTACCATGGCAACAATTATCGGAAATACAAATAAATATTTTTATGATAGTATTTGGGAAGTATTCAAATTTAAAGAAACAGTCGTTTGAAAGTTCATTTAAAGGTTTGGAATTTTGATGCATTTGGGGGCCAAAACACGCCCAAACCATACATAGTCCCTTCTCTCACAATAAATTTCTAATTTTATTTTCTCTCGTTCTCAATTCATCTGATTTTGTTAAATGTCTATCAAATAAAGTAGTTTCCCAGCATCCCTGCACATGTTAAGTAGAGACTAATAAAAACATATGTGGATTCTTTCTTTCTTCAATTTTACCACAGAAGGTTTTTTACTGAATTTACAATGTCTGCTATTGTTATTAAGTGTATATTTTTTTATCCAATACACTGCAGATCTGAAAAAAAACTATTACCATACATTTAGTTCATCAGTTTAGTCAAACAAATGTGTCACTGTTCGTTATATTTGAAGTAAATCATTAACTTACAACCCCCCAACACAAGCAACAGTGAAAGTTAGTGAACTTCAGTGGATTATAAACGAATAAACCACAGCAATAATTGAAACGTACGCGGCATGACGGCCCCAAATCTGCGGGGATCATCCTTCAGAAGCCTCTCTTTGAGTGATCTACGACCGACGCCTGTCGCACCGACAATAATTAGTGTCTTCCTTTCAAACGGCGGCATCCGCGCAACCTCTTCGTAAATGGACAGGTCGCATCTGTCAAAATCTGAAAGCAACCAAACGTTAGTGTCAAATCAACCCATCTCTTGTGGACTATACTATCAACAAACTGCTATCTGTCTCAGCATCATCTACTACACTGGTTATGAACCAATAGTAACACAAGATAACCTGGAGTGTTCTACATAGTTGAAACCCGAGTCAAGATATCATATAGGGATTGAACGGCATTTAAAAAAAAATCATGCCGGTATGAACACAAATCATTTACATCCAATTGCATGAAGCCTGTTCATGTTTATTATGGATGTAACCGATTTGAGTTCATAACGACATGAATATTTTTTTAAACCACCGTTCAACCCATATATTTACATTTTTACTATAGAACAATTGTTGAATTTTATTTTTTGTTCTTAAATAATTAATTTATCTACTGCATTTTGTATATGCGTCGTCTTTTAAACGACATTGGCGCAACAGCCCTATTTAACTGAAATTGGCGCCAATAATTAACCGTAGTCATTTGAACGTTTGACGCAGGGGCATTCTCCATGTTATCCGAAGCAAAGTGACAAGACCCCATTGAATAGATTGATTTACATCATAAGTAAACTATGTGTTACATCACAAGAGTTTTTGCTTCATACTCAAATGAAATGCATTTCTGCTGGTAGTGTTCATATAGGGAGTTGCAGCGCAAATGTAAATATATCATTTTATCAATATTTAAAATAATACAATCGTAACTGTTTTTTCCAAATAAGATGCAGACCTCTCAAATTTTGAATTCAATTAATAGGATTTAGAAATGTTGGAGAACTGCTCAGGTTAATCAACACAAAATCCATTTAATGTAGTTCAACATCTGCCAATATCCTCAACTTTACAACCTATCCACTATTCAAAGACTTTGTAATTTAATATGATCAAAATTATGTAACAAACTGAATTGTTTAAATAAACACAAACCTGTAGTATTTTTAGTGGCATACTTGATCTTTTTCTTTTTCCTTCTTTTTAAACCACACACTGAAATAAAACAGAAAAGAAAACTATTACAGTCAATAAACAGCTATGTAATAAGAGGGGGCATAAACTCTGTGTTAAGTCTGGCTTCCAAAGTACTACAACGAACAGAGCTTGTAAAACAACAGCCTACAGAGCTTGTAAAACAACAGCCTACAGAGCTTGTAAAACAACAATGTACAGAGCTTGTAAAACAACAGCCTACAGAACTTGTAAAACAACAGCCTACAGCGCTTGTAAAACAACAGCCTACAGAGCTTGTAAAACAACAATGTACAGCGCTTGTAAAACAACAGCCTACAGAACTTGTAAAACAACAGCCTACAGCGCTTGTAAAACAACAGCCTACAGAACTTGTAAAACAACAATGTACAGAGCTTGTAAAACAACAGCCTACAGCGCTTGTAAAACAACAGCCTACAGAGCTTGTAAAACAACAACATACAGAGCTTGTAAAACAACAGCCTACAGAACTTGTAAAACAACAACGTACAGCGCTTGTAAAACAACAGCCTACAGCACTTGTAAAACAACAGCCTACAGACCTTGTAAAACAACAATATACAGAGCTTGTAAAACAACAGCCTACAGAACATGTAAAAGAACAATGTACAGAGCTTGTAAAACAACAGCCTACAGCGCTTGTAAAACAACAGCCTACAGAGCTTGTAAAACAACAATGTACAGCGCTTGTAAAACAACAGCCTACAGAACTTGTAAAGCAACAATGTACAGAGCTTATAAAACAACAACATACAGAGCTTGTAAAACAACAATGTACAGAGCTTATAAAACAACAAAGTACAGAGCTTGCAAAACTACAACCTACAGAGCTTGTAAAACAACAACGTACAGAGCTTGTAAAACTACACGTACAGAGCTTGTAAAACTATGACGTACAGAGCTTGTAAAACAACAACGTACAGAGCTTGTTAAACAACAACCTACAGAGCTTGTAAAACAAAAACGTACAGAGCTTGTAAAACTACAACGAACAGAGCTTGTAAAACAACAACGTACAGAGCTTGTAAAACAACAATGTACAGGGCTTGTAAAATAACAATGTACAGATCTTGTAAAACAACAATGTACAGAGCTTGTAAACCAACAACGTACAGAGCTTGTAAAACCACAACGAACAGAGCTTGTAAAACAACAACGTATAGAGCTTGTAAAACTACACTGTACAGAGCTTGTAAAACAACAATGTACAGGGCTTGTAAAATAACTATGTACAGATCTTGTAAAACAACAATGTACAAAGCTTGTAAAACTACAACGTACAGAGCTTGTAAAACAACAACGTGCAGAGCTTGTAAAACTACACTGTACAGAGCTTGTAAAACAACAATGTAAAGAGCTTGTAAAACAACAACGTACAGTGCTTGTAAAACAACAACGTACAGAGCTTGTAAAACCACAACGAACAGAGCTTGTAAAACAACAATGTACAGAGCTTATAAAACAACAACATACAGAGCTTGTAAAACAACAGCCTACAGCGCTTGTAAAACAACAGCCTACAGAGCTTGTAAAACAACAATGTACAGGGCTTGTAAAATAACAATGTACAGATCTTGTAAAACAACAAGGTACAGAGCTTGTAAAACTACAACATACAAAGCTCGTAAAACAACAATGTACAGAGCTTGTCAAACAACAACGTACAGAGCTTGTAAAACTACACTGTGCAGAGCTTGTAAAACAACAATGTACAGGGCTTGTAAAATAACAATGTACAGATCTTGTACAACAACAATGTACAGAGCTTGTAAAACTACAACATACAGAGGTTGTAAAACAACAATGTACAGAGCTTGTTAAACTACAACGAACAGAGCTTGTAAAACAACAACGTATAGAGCTTGTAAAACTACACTGTACAGAGCTTGTAAAACAACAATGTAAAGAGCTTGTAAAACAACAACGTACAGGGCTTGTAAAACAAGAACGTACAGAGCTTGTAAAACTACACTGTACAGAGCTTGTAAAACAACAATGTACAGATCTTGTAAAACAACAATTTACAGAGCTTGTAAAACTACAATGTAAAGAGCTTGTAAAACAACAATGTACAGGGCTTGTAAAATAACAATGTACAGATCTTGTACAACAACAATGTACAGAGCTTGTAAAACAACAATGTACAGAGCTTGTAAAACAACAATGTACAGAGCAATGAGCAATGTGTACCTACAGAGACTGGATTTGGAGTAGTCGTAGTCGGGCTGTACGAAAGCCTTTCGTTTCTCCTCTAGCGGCTGAGAGGGGATCAGTCCCGTCTGTCCATCTTCATCTTTAGTAACGACCCTTGCCTGTTAAAACAAATGTCAAACATACTAATGTCAGGTGTCCTAGAAAAGGTGAAATATTTCACAGAAACTTGAATCTTTCTTCACAGAGGACACAGAAATGTCAAATGATGCATGCCAAAGTCACAAAAATGTCAAACACTCTACTTCAAACTTACACAAACATCAAACACTCTACTTCAAACTTACACAGATGTCAAACACTCTACTTCAAACTTACACAGATGTCAAACACTCTACTTCAAACTTACACAGATGTCAAACACTCTACTTCAAACTTACACAGATGTCAAACACTCTACTTCAAACTTACACAGATGTCAAACACTCTACTTCAAACTTACACAGATGTCAAACACTCTACTTCAAACTTACACAGATGTCAAACACTCTACTTCAAACTTACACAGATGTCAAACACTCTACTTCAAACTTACACAGATGTCAAACACTCTACTTCAAACTTACACAGATGTCAAACACTCTACTTCAAACTTACACAGATGTCAAACACTCTACTTCAAACTTACACAGATGTCAAACACTCTACTTCAAACTTACACAGATGTCAAACACTCTACTTCAAACTTACACAGATGTCAAACACTCTACTTCAAACTTACACAGATGTCAAACACTCTACTTCAAACTTACACAGATGTCAAACACTCTACTTCAAACTTACACAGATGTCAAACACTCTACTTCAAACTTACACAGATGTCAAACACTCTACTTCAAACTTACACAGATGTCAAACACTCTACTTCAAACTTACACAGATGTCAAACACTCTACTTCAAACTTACACAGATGTCAAACACTCTACTTCAAACTTACACAGATGTCAAACACTCTACTTCAAACTTACACAGATGTCAAACACTCTACTTCAAACTTACACAGATGTCAAACACTCTACTTCAAACTTACACAGATGTCAAACACTCTACTTCAAACTTACACAGATGTCAAACACTCTACTTCAAACTTACACAGATGTCAAACACTCTACTTCAAACTTACACAGATGTCAAACACTCTACTTCAAACTTACACAGATGTCAAACACTCTACTTCAAACTTACACAGATGTCAAACACTCTACTTCAAACTTACACAGATGTCAAACACTCTACTTCAAACTTACACAGATGTCAAACACTCTACTTCAAACTTACACAGATGTCAAACACTCTACTTCAAACTTACACAGATGTCAAACACTCTACTTCAAACTTACACAGATGTCAAACACTCTACTTCAAACTTACACAGATGTCAAACACTCTACTTCAAACTTACACAGATGTCAAACACTCTACTTCAAACTTACACAGATGTCAAACACTCTACTTCAAACTTACACAGATGTCAAACACTCTACTTCAAACTTACACAGATGTCAAACACTCTACTTCAAACTTACACAGATGTCAAACACTCTACTTCAAACTTACACAGATGTCAAACACTCTACTTCAAACTTACACAGATGTCAAACACTCTACTTCAAACTTACACAGATGTCAAACACTCTACTTCAAACTTACACAGATGTCAAACACTCTACTTCAAACTTACACAGATGTCAAACACTCTACTTCAAACTTACACAGATGTCAAACACTCTACTTCAAACTTACACAGATGTCAAACACTCTACTTCAAACTTACACAGATGTCAAACACTCTACTTCAAACTTACACAGATGTCAAACACTCTACTTCAAACTTACACAGATGTCAAACACTCTACTTCAAACTTACACAGATGTCAAACACTCTACTTCAAACTTACACAGATGTCAAACACTCTACTTCAAACTTACACAGATGTCAAACACTCTACTTCAAACTTACACAGATGTCAAACACTCTACTTCAAACTTACACAGATGTCAAACACTCTACTTCAAACTTACACAGATGTCAAACACTCTACTTCAAACTTACACAGATGTCAAACACTCTACTTCAAACTTACACAGATGTCAAACACTCTACTTCAAACTTACACAGATGTCAAACACTCTACTTCAAACTTACACAGATGTCAAACACTCTACTTCAAACTTACACAGATGTCAAACACTCTACTTCAAACTTACACAGATGTCAAACACTCTACTTCAAACTTACACAGATGTCAAACACTCTACTTCAAACTTACACAGATGTCAAACACTCTACTTCAAACTTACACAGATGTCAAACACTCTACTTCAAACTTACACAGATGTCAAACACTCTACTTCAAACTTACACAGATGTCAAACACTCTACTTCAAACTTACACAGATGTCAAACACTCTACTTCAAACTTACACAGATGTCAAACACTCTACTTCAAACTTACACAGATGTCAAACACTCTACTTCAAACTTACACAGATGTCAAACACTCTACTTCAAACTTACACAGATGTCAAACACTCTACTTCAAACTTACACAGATGTCAAACACTCTACTTCAAACTTACACAGATGTCAAACACTCTACTTCAAACTTACACAGATGTCAAACACTCTACTTCAAATTTACACAGATGTCAAACACTCTACTTCAAATTTACACAGATGTCAAACACTCTAACATGAACGTTCCCCTTGACATACCTGCCACCAGTTTGGGTCCTCAGAGCTGAGAATTTGTAATACATCGCCATCACTGAAAGTGAGGCCAGCATCGGCACAGGGTATGAGCCGATCCTTCTTCGGGTCATAGTTGAAGTGGGCACGCATGTATTTCTACAAAACATTGATACCAGGTAATAACAGAATTACTGTTCACTGGAAATATTTACCAAAAGTTCAATGTTTGCTTTCTACAACCTCTGTAATGAGGACAAATTTATCATAACAGCAAATTTCAGCACACACCATACCATGTACTGTAATTACTGTTGAGAGGCAAAATGATCACTGGATGAAAATTGATTTTACTGGCAAGGATGAACATTGATTTTACTGGCAAGGATGAACACTAATTCTACTGGCAAGGATGAACACTGATTTTACTGGCAAGGATTAACATTGAAGATTTTACTGGCAAGGATGAACATTTAAGATTTTACTGGCAAGGATGAATTATTTGATTTGGTGAAATGTTCTTGGTATACAGTGGTTATGTGAATATTGAAAAAAACATTGGAAACTGAATGTGAAGATAACTCCCACCCGTTACCTGTGATTTTATTTGTGATTCAACCACTGTCGGGACAATCTTGAGAGTGATGGAACCTTCCGTAAACCGAATTATCTCCATAAGCTGCTCCGGAGAGAACACCTGAAGGCCATTTACTTCTTTGATGATATCTCCTACATGGAGTAATCCTGCAAAATATTCAGGAGGTCAGAGGTCACATTGAGTAATGAGCTTAATAGTTAGATAGTTTAACACTATCTGAAATAACAATGTATCTAAGGTCAAAGGTCACCAAAACAATGGGTTCAGAGGTCACATGATGAAGAGGGTCAAAAGGCACATCGTGTCATGTTATCGGAAATACACTGTTGTCAAAAAGTATCGGAAATACACTGTGGTCAAAAAGTATCTGAAATACACTGGGGTCAAAAAGTATCGGAAGTACACTGTGGTCAAAAAGTATCGGAAATACACTGTGGTCAAAAAGTAAGTGTTGATTCACAATAATCAGAGGTCACATTGTGTAAGGAGATCAACGGTCAGATCATGTGATCACCTTGTCAGAACTTACATAGTAACAGGAGATGGAAATCAAGTCAGGCCACATTGTATGGTGTGTTTAGATGGATTCAAGGGAGATCACTCTGTTGTGTACCTGATCTGTCATTGCTTTGTTAATTCATTCACTTATTGTACCATGTTTGTTTATTGTACCTTGTTTATCTGTCTATTAAAAATAATAATAATTCGAGGTTCTTAAATACCGCTTCATAACAATCTAGTTCGAAGGTCGTCTCAAAGCAGTTCCCCAATTTAGTATCAATGGTTATAGGGCCTTTGAAACCATTCAATATGTTTCTCAACTCCCTGGGAAGCATACAGCCGGTGCTGCCAGTTCGGCGCTCACAGCTAGCATTCTACAATTCAATCATTGCCCACCCATGTTCTCATTTACAGCTGAGTAGACTGGAACAAACATTGTACCTTGTACCTTGTTTGTCTATCTATTGTACCTTGTTTGTCTATCTATTGGACCTTGTTTGTCTATTGTACCTTGCTTGTCTATTGTACCTTGTCTATCTACTGTACCTGATTTGCCTATCTATTGTAGCTTGTTTGTCTATATATTGTACCTTGTCTATCTATTTTACCTTCTCTATCTATTGTACCTTGTCTGTCTATTGTACCTTGTCTATCTATTGTACCTTGTTTGTCTAAATATTGTACCTTGTTTGTCTATCTATTGTACCTTGTTTGTCTATCTACTGTACCTTGTTTGTCTATCTTTTGTACCTTGTCTATTTATTGTACCTTGTTTGTCTATTGTACCTTGTTTGTCTATCTACTGTACCTTGTTTGTCTATTGTACCTTGTTTGTCTATTGTACCTTGTTTGTCTATCTATTGTACCTTGTTTGTCTATTGTACCTTGTTTGTCTATATATTGTACCTTGTATGTCTATCTACTGTCCCTTGTATGTCTATCTTTTGTACCTTATCTATCTATTGTACCTTTTCTATCTATTGTGCCTTGTTTGTCTATCTAGTGTACCTTTTATGTCTATCTACTGTACCTTGTCTGTCTATCTTTTGTACCTTATCTATCTATTGTACCTTTTCTATCTATTGTACCTTGTTTGTCTATTGTACCTTGTTTGTCTATCTACTGTACCTTGTTTGTCTACTGTACCTTGTTTGTCTATTGTACCTTGTTTGTCTATCTAGTGTACCTTGTATGTCTATCTACTGTACCTTGTATGTCTATCTTTTGTACCTTATCTATCTATTGTACCTTTTCTATCTATTGTACCTTGTTTGTCTATTGTACCTTGTTTGTCTATCTTTTGTACCTTGTCTATCTATTGTACCTTGTTTGTCTATCTTTTGTACCTTGTCTATCTATTGTACCTTTTCTATCTATTGTACCTTGTTTGTCTATTGCACCTTGTCTGTCTATTGTACCTTGTTTGTCTATCTAGTGTTCCTTGTTTGTCTATATATTGTACCTTGTTTGTCTACTGTACCTTGTTTGTCTATATATTGTACCTTGTATGTCTATCTATAGTACCTTGTTTGTCTATCTATTGTACCTTGTTTGTCTATCTATTGTACCTTGTTTGTCTATCATGCTTCCTGACATGATCCGTGCGATGACGAGGTCACTGTGTTCGTCTATCTTCACTGTAATTCCCTGTAATACAAAAATAACTTGACCCTGAGATTTACATATATATTATTCTTTATTCAGCAATAGACACAAATGTCTTTGTGCCATAAATACATTGCATATACAAGGATATATGTAGTGGTACAATGCATTCAATTACATAAATATATAATAAAGTAAAACAGTGACATTCTGCACATTTAAATGCAGGTTTCACAACATGTACACAAAAGATGAAACAATTTAACATGTAGCAATATTCCTTAACAACTATCTATTGGGGGGTTGGTAATTAGGACTGGCAAATCAATATACATCTCCAGACATCCCAACATCCATCCAGATGTTTTAGGGGACAATTTGGTTGTGTTGCTACACATGGTGGCTAATATTCATTATTCAGCTTTCTCAAATCCCAGCTACATTTATAGGGAATGAAGATGGCTTGACTTACAAGGCTCAACTCTTTACAGGAAGACTTATAAAGCCGACAACATTTTATTTTCATACCAATATATCAGACTTATGGAACAAGTCTCACATTCTTTTACTGTATTTTGAATCTTAGTGAGTTAAAATGTTAGAATGAATTGTTTCTGACGAGTTTCATCAATCTCATATGAAACAAATGTTAGATCCTTATCATCAGATTTGACCAAAACTTTTGCTAGAATAATGAACAAACAAAAAATAGATGCCCTTATCAGTAGTGATTTTTGAAGTCTAACTATTGCCATCTTGGCTCTAAAATCTCTATTGTGATGATATAACAGTCTGTCCTGTTACGGGGTCACAATAGATCATATTACACAAGTTCCTACTCCAACGTGACATGAATGTATTTACAGAATGACACTGTAATCAAGTGATAAAACTACTGGACAGGTAGACCATCACAGCCTAGAGGTTAGTGTTTACACAAAATCTGTACCTCATGATGTCTTCTGTTCCTATAGTAAAGGAACTCAAACCTCCTGGCAGTGTATGAACTCTGACCTCCAGCTGGCAGTGTATGAACTTTGACTTACTGGCAGTGTATGAACTTTGACTTACTGGCAGTGTATGAACTTTGACTTACTGGCAGTGTATGAAATTTTACCTACTGGCAGTGCATGATCTCTTGGCATTGAGAGGGTTTGAACTCTGACCTTCTGGCAGTGCATGATCTCTTGGCATTGAGAGGGTTTGAACTCTGACCTACTGGCAGTGCATGAACTCTAGTTGTTGGAAGGGTATGGACATTGGCCAAATAGCAATGTATGAACTCTGACCCCAAGGAGGGTATGAACTTTGACCTACTGGGATGTACTTACCAGGGGAGCACTTTTGTCCTTGCGTATCCCTACAAGTCGGACCTGGTCGGCCACGTTGTTGAAAACCATGGGAGGTGGTGGGGCGCTTAACTGCTTGACATCGTTAACTTCCTCCTCGTAATTCTTGTCTGCAATATCATCATACGCAGACATCATGGCCTAGAAAAACAGGGGGAAATATTTCAAAAGTGGAATCATTCTTTCAAAAATAAATAAATGTTTTCTTCAAGAGAGTACAGCACCTCTGGACAAGCAGGTCATTAAATCTGGACATGTTTATAACCAATAATCAAATTATTAATTCTGAATATTTCATAGTTGTCAGATATAACCTTGGGGAGATAATTAAACAACTTTATAAAGTATAACTTTCAAGAGTATGAGTAACAAGAAAATTGAGGGGTTCAACTTAAACATTTATAAATAGCATTCAAGGGTAGATAATTCAATAAGCACCTGAATATTACAAATATAGGAAATATGTTAAAATATGGTGGGAAGTGTTATTAACCTAGGTGAAGGTGTACTGGGTAATTTGTCCTAGAGTGGACAAACTCAGACGTTTGATATGAACCATACTCTGTAACAGATGTGACTTACCTGCATACACGGGATTGTTTTACCATAAACGGGATTGTTTTACCATAAACGGGATTGTTTTACCATCAAAAATACTCAAATTAAGGACTCTATTGATTAATACTTCAGTGATCAAGGTTTTGGTTGAAGTGGGAGCGTTTGATTCCAAAGTGGGATGTGGCTTTTTACTTGAAGTTGGATGCAGCTTACCATGAAATGGGGTGCGGACAGAACTTTCTCCAGCTCTACAGCGTGAGAGTTAGACCCTAGACTGGCAATATCGTTGATGCAGTCCGCTACCATCCTACTGGCAGATTCATCACTTGGCTGGTCAACGGGGTCCTGCTCAAGTCGGTCTTTCGCCTAAAGTTGAGAGATTATGTTGTTCAAGAGTAAAAAAAATACTCCTCAATTATTGCTCCATGATATGACAGGGGGATGAAATTTTAGCTACAGAAAATGGAATTTTCCCCCCGTAAATCTAGGAGAAGAAATGCATAAGCCCGTCAGAAATTGGTCGCCTATCATTTTCTGTGATAAATATATATTTGATATAGGGCCCTATCTAGCTAACATATGCCACTCTAAAGCGCTTTATAGTACATAGATAAACAATTAATACAATAATCATATACATTAATCGATACAATTTTGAGGAATTTGCAGGAGCTGCCTTATCAGGCGCTAACTACTTGTCCTATGCCACCTGGCTAATATCTCCCTATGTGTGTATGCCTTTGTGTGTGCTAGAGATGTAATACGTTCTGTTTGTAGTGGGACTGTCTTTCCAATGGCATCATTTATAGTGCCACCTCACTTGAATGCTACAGCACAGATACCGCAACATCCACCCCAGACCAATTTATACTCCACCTGGGTTGTTGGAGTTGTGTGGGCAGGAGAAAAACACTTTCTTTGAATATCCATGCATACGACAACTTCCGGGATCGAATCCTGGCCACCTGTGTGGAATCCGGAGTGTTAACCACTCAACCAATCCGCCAATTATCAGCTAATATTCTCAAAAAGTCCGTAACGACGTTATGAAAATCCTACATTTTGTTTCTGATCAAAACAAATGCTTTGCAGTGGTGTCAGAGCAGACTATTTACTGCTTTATTTAGTGTGTTCAAGTTTCATACAACCAAGGCATGCAATTTTCACAAATTATAAGGAGGCCTAGCATTACAGATGACTTTTCAAGAGATTGTCTACTGTCCCCCTAATTAGTGTCATTAATTTAACAAATCACAATCTGGCGTGAACAGCAACAGTTATAGGTCCACTAATATAGGTTAGGTAAAGGAGTTCATCACTATAGAAACTGATACGGGTCATTGGCTAAGGTTGAACAGCCCATCAAACCAACAGCCTCACACGGAACCTAAAATAACTTGATACAGATGAGTCCTTATCAGTTTATGGTCCTGGGAAAAACCTGCTTGATGTAAAAGCCATATATACACTTACCTGTACCAGTGACTCCAGCAGAGGACCCTCAAGGAACTGTATAAGGAAGGCTAAGTCACTTACCTGTACCAGTGACTCCAGCAGAGGACCCTCAAGGAACTGTATAAGGAAGACTAAGTCACTTACCTGTACCAGTGACTCCAGCAGAGGACCGTCAAGGAACTGTTTAAGGAAGGCTAAGTCACTTACCTGTACCAGTGACTCAAGCAGAGGACCCTCAAGGAACTGTATAAGGAAGGCTAGGTCACTTACCTGTACCAGTGACTCCAGCAGAGGACACTCAAGGAACTGTTTAAGGAAGGCTAAGTCACTTACCTGTACCAGTGACTCCAGCAGAGGACCCTCAAGGAACTGTTTAAGGAAGGCTAAGTCACTTACCTGTACCAGTGACTCCAGCAGAGGACCCTCAAGGAACTGTATAAGGAAGGCTAAGTCACTTACCTGTACCAGTGACTCCAGCAGAGGACCCTCAAGGAACTGTTTAAGGAAGGCTAAGTCACTTACCTGTACCAGTGACTCCAGCAGAGGACCCTCAAGGAACTGTATAAGGAAGGCTAAGTCACTTACCTGTACCAGTGACTCCAGCAGAGGACCCTCAAGGAACTGTATAAGGAAGGCTAAGTCACTTACCTGTACCAGTGACTCCAGCAGAGGACCCTCAAGGAACTGTATAAGGAAGGCTAAGTCACTTACCTGTACCAGTGACTCCAGCAGAGGACCCTCAAGGAACTGTATAAGGAAGGCTAAGTCACTTACCTGTACCAGTGACTCCAGCAGAGGACCCTCAAGGAACTGTATAAGGAAGGCTAAGTCACTTACCTGTACCAGTGACTCCAGCAGAGGACCCTCAAGGAACTGTATAAGGAAGGCTAAGTCACTTACCTGTACCAGTGACTCCAGCAGAGGACCCTCAAGGAACTGTATAAGGAAGGCTAAGTCACTTACCTGTACCAGTGACTCCAGCAGAGGACCCTCAAGGAACTGTTTAAGGAAGGCTAAGTCACTTACCTGTACCAGTGACTCCAGCAGAGGACCCTCAAGGAACTGTATAAGGAAGGCTAAGTCACTTACCTGTACCAGTGACTCCAGCAGAGGACCCTCAAGGAACTGTTTAAGGAAGGCTAAGTCACTTTGATCCGCGTCGACTTCATCTCCAATCTCAGCTAGTTGGTCTTGTAGATTGTGTAGCGAGGCTGACCAAAAGAAAGTTCTCAGATGACAGTTTGTGTAGTGTTACGAATCACTGAAAACATCCTAGCTGATCATCACCAACAATTGCTGCCTTATTACATTTGCTGGACTAAAATATATATACACGTACAAACTGAGTACCGAAGAGCACAAAATATTATAATCAGACACAGAGACACAGAAATTCGACTGATTATGAGGTGCAAACATCTAGACATGGAAAATATTTTAAATTGACAATTTTCTTTAATTCCTAACAAAACTAAAATTGAAATGTCGTTCCTGACTGCTGTTTGACAGACCACGAAAACACTCCTGATCAGTATAGTATCTATACCATTGAGTACATGTTTACAATAAACAACATGATACCGACTGACATTCTGTTGAACAATGTAACTTATCATTCATCGTCTGACCGAAAGTGATGTGCAGAAATACATGTGTAAAGTGAATCTAGGGAAATGTCCCAGTAGGGAGGCTAGCGACATGTAGCCTATACATAAAAATTTTGAGAGTTTGCTACGTTTAACAACGGTATTCACAAGGCATGCACATAAGTATTGAGTTATCTGTGTTTATGCATTTAGTGAATTTTATCAAAATAAACGGCCATTGGTGGCTGTATTTCATTCTACAAAAAAAGCATGGTTACTCGGTTCCGATAAGTACAAATGGTTATCTGACTGGCATTATTTGTTACCGTTGCTGCCCTAGTACCAGGTACAGAGTGAGCTAACTCCGTCACCAGTTATCTGTACCACCATCCACCACCAGGGGATGATAATTAGATTTTTTTTTTTTCTACATTAAATTGTCCCAGTGATCAAGCTGTTTCACAATCAAGCCTTGGAATGAATATGGCCGTATTACGGTAACAACAAACGTGAATTGATTATCATTATCAACAAAGTATGAGTATAATAATACAGCTGGATAATTAAAAACATGACTGGATTATCACAAAAGTGACTGGATTATCACAAAAGTGACTTGATTATCACAAAAGTGACTGGATTATAACAAAAGTGACTGGTTTATTATTACCAACAAAGTATACTGGGTAATTAAAAGCATGACTGGATTATCAACAAAGTATGCTGGATAATTTAAAATGTGACTGGATTATCAAAGTATGCTGGATAATTAAAAACGTGACTGGATTATCAACAAATTAAAAGTCAATTAATTATCAACAAACATGACTGGGGTAACAAGCAAGATAGCTGGATAGTCGCCAGTGTCCTGAAGTAATGTCACTCAGCTGGATAGTCGCCAGTGTACTGAAGTAATGTCACTCAGCTGGATAGTTGCCAGTGTCCTGAAGTAATGTCACTCAGTTGGATAGTCGCCAGTGTCCTGAAGTAATCTCACTCAGCTGGATAGTCGCCAGTGTCCTGAAGTGATGTCACTCAGCTGGATAGTCGCCAGTGTCATGAAGTAATGTCACTCAGCTGGATAGTTGCCAGTGTCCTGAAGTAATGTCACTCAGTTGGATAGTCGCCAGTGTCCTGAAGTAATGTCACTCAGCTGGATAGTCGCCAGTGTCCTGAAGTAATGTCACTCTATCTACTATGACAGAAGAAAATATGACATAGCAGCTTGACACACAAACTGATGATCGACTTACCTAAACCCGCTCCATCTGTAGCGGCCGGCATGTCTCTATGCTGGTGCAATCTGCAAATAAAGGTCACGTCATTGATGTTAAAAAACTGAAATAAAATTATCCACTGTATATGTCTATGCTGTTCTGATATAATTAAATATCTTTCCTACACTTTAGGTATGAACAAGGCATCCCAGATAATACCTTTGCAATTCTAAATATTTCCTGTTTAGTATCATGTACAGTATGCTTAAAAATAAAAAAATAAAATTATAGCACAAGAAATTTTGGGTTTTTTCATCAGTATAATTAACAACCTTACACATGTCATTGTACTCTACGATTTGATTATAAATTATAGGTCAATGACCATTATATACACGTACTAAGTATAACTGACCTTCACTCCATAGACAGATGACCATTACATATACACTACATTGTATGTTAAACATAACATATCCACTTACGTCCAGGCTCGGTCAGACTAGACAGATAACATCTGTTATCTCCTCCGTATTATGTACATTACTCAATTTGTCTGTATTGCCCTGTTCTGCATTATACGATTATAACTCAAAACAGAAAGGGAGGTACTTAATGATTAAATATGTTCAATATGTACATACGAGTTTGGAAAGCTGTGTATATGTACAGTACATTTCACCTAATATCACGTCTGTTAATGTGACTTTTCGGTTATTATCATGTTTTTTTGATGCACCGTTTTTCCTGCTATATAATCTATGCAATTCAATTCTTTTATTATCACCTGATTTTATGTTGATTTCTCTTAATATCACATTATTTTGGCCACTGCCACAAAAAAAATACAGGTAAATGGTGGTAATGATTCATGATAAATGCCCTGGGGACCTTCTGTCACACCCTGGACGCATTATGTAAACAATGCCTTGACCTAACAGGGTATTTTTTACACCTGGCTGACTGTCAAACAATAGGTTACACCTGGCTGACTGTTAAACAATAGGTTGACTTACATACTTGTTAACATAATATTCACCTGTGGTTGGGGAGCTAGGGCAGTCTAACATCTGTAAACTTTTCTAATGCCAAGTGTGATGTATTCTTTCAACTAATTATAACATGTGTACTATCTTCGATTACACACTTGCAGCAAATATCTAAGGAAATTAACCCATAAAAAGATGTTACTAGAGAAAGAACAGTATAAATATCAAGATAAAGGTAAATATTTACCAAGTCTCATGCTTACAATTGAATTTGATGCAGAATACCAGCCAAACACTTGTATGCCTACATCACTACTGCAGTAAACAATCATAATTACAAACGTACTGATCGTCATTTTGCTACTTAACAATATGAAATGTAACTGTAGTATATATCCTGCAACTAAAAAAGACACACACACACACACCCGTCACCTCCACTCAATTCCTGTCCGATACATTACATGATTATGTTTATCTTGTAGGGGGCAGGTATTAATTGGCATTTACTTGAGTAAGACTTTTTTGTTTATAAAAAATAAGAGAAGGGCATAGATAAGAATGAACACCAATAATATTAGGTAGTGATGTGCTGATGATCTAATATAATCAAGTTTACTTTTTCTGATTACAAACCGATTATTGATTACGGTTTTAAATTGATTGCCCATCACTAATGTTATGCTTATTTGAACCTTACTTTACCACCACTGTAGACCATAATGGACTCATCCCAATAAATGCATGCTAGCTAGGTGTGATATAAAAAGGGTTAAATAATCACTTCTACAAAAACCCGCATACAACATAGGGACCCCTCGGATAATCTCAGACTCCGCCCAAGCCTGACAAAGAAACAAAGTACTGTACCTAACAGAAGCAGAGACGTTTCTCTACTGTCGGACATAATCGGCAGTAAGAGACCTGAGGTACATAACAAACATAATATATATACTTCAGGGTTCGAATTTAACCAGATTTTCTACTTGCATTTTTTCGCAAGTGGTATTTTTTCTTACTTGCTAAATGAGAAAACAACTTGCAATTTGCATTTTTCCAACTTTATTAGACATGTTAACTTAGAATTAAATTCTAAAACAACACAGTATTAACTGACATTTTAAATTATGGTCATTGGGATGTATACATGACGCAAAAAAATTAAACCTTGCTGTGAAAGGATGCTGGCCTGCTAAGGCTATTCTAAGATATAGCATAGAAACTGCATCTTAAGTTTCTTGCTCCATATGTCCATTTGTTATTTTGTCGGTGCCGCGAACCTTGGGAAACCCCAATACAACCATGTGACTAGTCAAGCCTATCGTATTTGCGCTATAAATAGTAACTAAAAATAGATTACCGAAAAACATCATGCATGCGGTAAACGTCATCATTATTTGTGCAGCTACTTCCTAACGGACATGCGCACGGGACATGTATCGATTGTAAACTTCCGTTAATGACAAAAGCTGAATCGTTCGTTCGGCGAATGACAAGAATGCGCTTAAATGACCGCGAGTTGTCAAAGAAATAATTTGTAAAGACCGACCATTAGAAAATTTTCACTCGCAAAAAAATGCTGGTGTCTGAAATCTCTACTCGCAGTTTGCAATTTGCACTCGCTTTTCGCGAGTATGCGAGCTTAAATTCGAACCCTGTACTTCCCTATAAGAACATGAATATATGCAATAAATACACTTTTGTTTTATTTTTTATCATATATATACATTATTACAAGCCTTCTTGGCCATTTTTGACCTCCCTCCAACGATACCAAAACACAAGTTAGGAACAACAGACAAAGTTGCAGCAACCGGCGCGACACACCTACCAACCATTTCGGACCAAGGCGTCGTCTCCCAAATTTCATCAAAATATAAGGATAGGATATAGTATAGGCGACTCCTACCTACCCCCTGAAGAAAGGCAACTTCCCTCACGTCGACAGAACACTGACTTCCGTCAGTGAGATGAAACCTACATGGGTGGATTCATGTAGGCGAAAAACCCATCAACCAACCAACCAATTCTACAATGGCTTCTAACCAGAGAACTTTTTCATTATCAGGCCTAGCGGTGTTCAACGTCAAAAAAGAAAGGGCATGTCTGCTATTACAGTGCTGTGTGGGACAAGGACTTCGAGTGGCTTCGTAAGGATCCGATGGATCTGGTCATAAGTATTGTAAATCTATACTAGCAATTTTTCATTAGGTTCAGATAGTATCAAATTATCTATGATATAAACAGACATGTGATAATTTCCAATAAACAATTGTCACAAAAAAAGTTATGATGAATAAAACCACAACAACTTAAGGCAATTTCATCTTTTATTGCAAAGTCTGGAAGTTTAGAAATTTCCTCGCTGAGCACAACAGGCCTTCCTCAATAGCTGATGATCATATTTGAACTCTGCAGAAAAATGTTTCCAGATATTGATACAGCTTCAAAATTTGCAAACAGTCTGTGACATACAAAGCATAGTATACCCAGATATTATACAAATACTGTATTACTGTGTGTATATAAGGTAAATGCAGATTTGAGTCATTCTAATTTTTTCTCCAGTCTCCAATCTGGCAGACAGATTCCCAATGTTGTACTAGATTAGTTCATGCCTTCATTATGCTGCTAAGATGCATCAGTGCTGAAACACCAAGTCTGTCAATCAAACTATGGACAAACTGTGTTTAAACCCAATAAAATAAAGTGTAAAAAGATTTGTTTTAGTTAATAACTTATTGAAAAAAGGCCTTAATCTTGCCAGATGACACAACCATGTTTTCGCCATGATGTCACAATGTCTCAAATTTATCAAAGCTGATGTGAAATTTTGTCATATGCATTATAATGATCACCCCCACAGAATTTCCCAATGGGTGTCATGACTGATCCCCATAGGGTGATTCCGGGGAGAGCCGGTTATTGTGAATATATATATTAGCAACACAAATATATGTTATATTAGAATCTCTACTTGGTACAACTTTTTTAAATATAAACATCAGTCTTTACCTGGAATGTAATATTCGTCCTAACAATGTAGCCTTTGACATCAAGTTATAATTTAAGGTCATTAGGATTGAGATCATTTCATTGTAATACTGGTAAAGATTGGCCTGGCATTTTTAAGATATCAGAGTAATTTTATACATCTTTCAAATACATGATAAATGTATTTGTATTTTAATTAGTCATCACACAATGTATATTAGGGGTTTGAAAACTAAACAGGCGTTGAACGTATATAGCAGAGGGGCAACAAATCAGTGTTATATAGATGTGGGGTACCGTATGGTCAATATTTATCCAGAGGTGAGGTACCGTAGGGGTAACGTCAATGTTTACACAGTGGTGGTATGGGGTACCGTAGGGGTAACGCCGCCTCGGGTAATGACAGGTGTGATCGTTTAACCCACTTAACAAACACAATAACGATATCCCAGTATATAGGTTTCGCCTAGAAAACACAAACAAAACACGGGTAGTTGTGTTCTGCTAAAACAGACATCATATTCTTTTACAAATCACTGCAAAACTGCTTTCACTATTCGCTTCCGTATTGGGGTCGGCCATGTTTTCTCACACCTGTGTCGATCGGCACAATTCCAGTGTTTTCTCCATTAAACGTCAGCGTAGCAATCAATTTGATAATCGTTAAGTGCTAGCTTATCGCCAGTTTCTGATTTCACAACACATCCACACTTAACTTCAACCAGTAATTATTTCAGCAATATTTACCTCACCTGTAATTTCGTGATAGGTCTTTCCAGGACGCGACGAGAGCACCTGGATCACGTGACACAAATAAACTAACCGAACGATTTTGTAACGCGGTTTTTCATTGGCTCAATATTACCGGCATTCACAGCTTGTAATTCAACAGTTATAGGCCAGAGATAGGTGTCTGGTTAGACACAAAATTCCACCGTACTTACTCATCAATCATATTTTACAAAAAAAAAATGTCAAACAGAATCTACTTGGACATGAGTTTTGATAATGTGTAGACACACGAAAGAGCGATGTAATTTAGGTTTAACATTCCAGATCAATAGTATTTTTTTCAGAAAATTAAATACGTTTGCAAAAAGAACAATTAACATCACACCAAGTTAAATGCATTCAAATCTTGAATCTTTCGCGAAAGTTAAATGACCTTAACACATTAAAAACACCTGTCTAAATAATAATTTGATCCAATGGTGATCAGCAAATGTTATACTTTGTAATTCTTTCTCTAAAATTACACACACAAACACACATAAAGTACTCGAGTTTTCTTTATGAATATTTTATCTAGAAAAACGAAATAAATGAATTACCAAAATTATAATAATATATATTGATTATTCAATCCACTCGGGCATTGTAATAAAATGAAGAAGATTTTAAGAAAGATCTAGATATATAGACCCTTGCAAAAGTACAGGGACAAGACAAGTATCTTATTTAATCATTTATATATGTCATATACATGTATAGGTCTCTGGTTCAGACCTCATGCTTCGCAAAATAAACATGAGATCTCGAATGGGGACACACACACACCCACACCCCACCCATACCCACACACACACACACACACACACTCACACACACACCCTTCTATTTATTGATCAGAACTTTTGCATGGTAATGTATTCAAACAGCACCCTGACTCGTTAACATTCAACAAATTATACTTTGCCTTTATTTACTTATTTATTGAAATTAATATTGTGTTCTTTTTTAATCAACACCACAAACAAAAGGCAAAACAGGATTTTTTCGATCATTTCAGTATCTACCCCTATCGTTACTGTACGGAGTAATCCGGTAGTGTGGAGCAAAGTAAGAGGGGAATTTCTTGACATCGTGTAGCAAAACCTTATCTTTGTCATAGCAGTTGAAAAACTCAACAGGAATATATGCAATGGAAGAATATTGTTTAAACTTGACCTATGCAAAATGAAATAAAAATGGATCCGCCCTTGTTAGTGAAGAGTGTGTCTCCCCATCCTGGATCCGCCCTTGGGGAGTGAAGGGTGAGTCTCCCCATCCTCATGGATCCGCCCTTGGTGAGTGAGGGGTGTGCCTCCCCATCCCCCTGTAAATGCCCTTGGTGAGTGAGGGGTGTGCCTCCCCATCCTTCTGTATATGCCCTTGGTGAGTGAGAGTGTGTCTCCCCATCCTCCTGGATCCGCCCTTGGTGAGTGAGGGGTGTGCCTCCCCATCCTCCTGGATCTGCCCTTGGTGAGTGAAGGGTGCATCTCCCCATCCTCCTGGATCCACCCTTGGTGAGTGAAGAGTGTGTCTCCCCATCCTCCTGTATATGCCCTTGGTGAGTGAGGGGTGCGTCTCCCCATCCTCCTGGATCCGCCCTTAGTGAGTGAGGGGTGCCCCTCCCCATCCTCCTGGATCCGCCCTTGGTGAGTGAGGGGTGCCCCTCCCCATCCTCCTGGATCCGCCGTTGGTGAGTGAAGGGTGCGTCTCCCTACCTTGGTGAGTAAGGGGTGCGCCCTCCATACTCCTGGATCTGCCCTTGGTGAGTGAGGGGTGCGTCTCCCCATCCTCCTGGATCCGCCCTTGGTGAGTGAAGGGTGCGTCTCCCCATCCTCCTGGATCCGCCCTTGGTGGGTGAGGGGTGCGTCTCCCCATCCTCCTTGATCCGCCCTTGGTGGGTGAGGGGTGTGTCTCCCCATCCTCCTGGATCCGCCCTTGGTAGGTGAGGGGTGCACCTCCCCATCCTCCTGGATCCGCCCTTGGTGAGTGAAGGGTGCGTCTCCCCATCCTCCTGGATCCGCCCTTGGTGAGTGAAGGGTGCGTCTCCCCATCCTCCTGGATCCGCCCTTGGTGGGTGAGGGGTGTGTCTCCCCATCCTCCTTGATCCGCCCTTGGTGGGTGAGGGGTGTGCCTCCCCATCCTCCTGGATCCGCCCTTGGTGAGTGAGGGGTGCGTCTCCCCATCCTCCTGGATCCGCCCTTGGTGAGTGAGAGGTGCCCCTCCCCATCCTCCTGGATCCGCCGTTGGTGAGTGAAGGGTGCGTCTCCCTATCTTGGTGAGTAAGGGGTGCGCCCTCCATACTCCTGGATCTGCCCTTGGTAAGTGAGGGGTGAGTCGCCCAATACTCCTGTATATGCTCTTGGTGAGTGAGGGTTGTGCCTCCCCATCCTCCTGGATCCGCCCTTGGTGAGTGAAGGGTGCATCTCCCCATCCTCCTGGATCCGCCCTTGGTGGGTGAAGGGTGCGTCTCCTCATCCTCCTGGATCCGCCCTTGGTGAGTGAAGGTTGAGTCGCCCAATACTCCTGTATATGCTCTTGGTGAGTGAGGGGTGAGCCTCCTCATCCTCCTGGATCCGCCCTTGGTGAGTGAAGGGTGCGTCTCCCCATCTTCCTGGATCCACCCTTGGTGAGTGAAGGGTGAGTCGCCCAATCCTCCTGTATATGCTCTTGGTGAGTGAGGGGTGTGCCTCCCCATCCTCCTGGATCCGCCCTTGGTGAGTGAAGGGTGTGTCTCCCCATCCTCCTGGATCCACCCTTGGTGGGTGAGGGGTGCGTCTCCCCATCCTCCTGGATTCGCCCTTCATGGGTGAGGGGTGTGTCTCCCCATCCTCCTGGATCCGCCCTTAGTGAGTGAGGGGTGCCCCTCCCCATCCTCCATGATCCGCCCTTTGTGAGTGAAGGGTGCGTCTCCCTATCTTGGTGAGTAAGGGGTGCGCCCTCCATACTCTTGGATCCGCCCTTGGTGAGTGAGGGGTGCGTCTCCCCATCCCCCTGGATCCGCCCTTGGTGAGTGAAGGGTGCATCTCCACATCCTCCTGGATCCGTCCTTGGTGAGTGAGGGGTGTGCCTCCCCATCCCCCTGTAAATGCCCTTGGTGAGTGAGGGGTGCGTCTCCCCATCCTCCTGGATCCACTCTTGGTGAGTGAGTGGTGAGTCTCACAATACTCCTGGATTAGCTCTTGGTGAGTGAGGGGTGAGTCGCCCAATACTTCTGGTTTCACCCTTGTTGCGTGAGGGGTGCCCCTCCCCATCCTCCTGAATCCGCTTTTGGTGATTGAGTCGCCCAATACTCCTGTATATGCTCTTGGTGAGTGAGGGGGGAGTCGCCCAATACTCCTGTATATGCTTTTGCTGAGCGAGGGGTGTGCCTCCCCTTCCTTCTGTATATGCCCTTGGTGAGTGCGGGGTGCGTCTCCCCATCCTGCTGGATCCGCCCTTGGTGAGGGAGGGGTGCGTCTCCCCAGCCTCCTGGATCCGCCCTTTGTGAGTGAAGGGTGCGTCTCCCCATCCCCTACCTTGGTGAGTAAAGGGTGCGCCCTCCATACTCCTGGATCTGCCCTTGGTGAGTGAGGGGTGCGGCTCCCCATCCTCCTGGATCCCCCCTTGGTGAGTGAAGGGGGCGTCTCCCCATCCTCCCGGATCCGCCCTTGGTGAATGAGGGGTGTGCCTCCCCATCCCCCTGTAAATGCCCGTGGTGAGTGAGGGGTGCCCCTCCCCATCCTCCATGATCCGCCCTTTGTGAGTGAAGGGTGCGTCTCTCTATCTTGGTGAGTAAGGGGAGCGCCCTCCATACTCTTGGATCTGCCCGTGGTGAGTGAGGGGTGCCCCTCCCCAGCCTCCTGAATCCGCTCTTCGTGAGTGAAGAGTGTGTCTCCCCATTGCCCTTGATCCACCCTTGGTGAGTTAAGTGTGCGTCTCCCCATCCTGCTGGATCCGCCCTTGGTGGGTGACGGGTGCGTCTCCCCATCCTCCTGGATCCGCCCTTGGTGAGTGAAGGGTGAGTCTCCCAATACTCCTGGATTCGCTCTTGGTGAGTGAGGGGTGAGTCGCCCAATACTCCTGGATTCACCCTTGTTGCGTGAGGGGTGCCCCTCCCCATCCTCCTGAATCCGCTCTTGGTGAGTGAAGAGTGTGTCTCCCCATTGTCCTGGATCCACCCTTGGTGAGTGAAGGGTGAGTCGCCCAATACTCTTGTATTTGCTCTTGGTGAGTGAGGGGTGCGTCTCCCCATCCTCCTGGATTCGCCCTTCATGGGTGAGGGGTGTGGCTCCCCATCCTCCTGGATCCGCCCTTAGTGAGTGAAGGGTGAGTCGCCCAATACTCATGTATTTGCTCTTGGTGAGTGAGGGGTGTGCCTCCACATCCTCCTGGATCCGCCCTTGGTGAGTGAAGGGTGCGTCTCCCCATCTTCCTGGATCCACCCTTGGTGAGTGAAGGGGGAGTCGCCCAATACTCCTGTATTTGCTCTTGGTGAGTGAGGGGGGTGTCTCCCCATCCTCCTGGATCCGCCCTTGGTGAGTGAAGGGGGAGTCGCCCAATACTCCTGTATATGCTCTTGGCGAGTGAGGGGTGTGCCTCCCCATCCTCCTGGATCCGACCTTGGTGAGTGAAGGGTGCGTCTCCCCATACTCCTGGATCCGCCCTTGGTGAGTGAAGGGCGAGTCGCCCAATACTCCTGTATTTGCTCTTGGTGAGTGAGGGGTGCGTCTCCCCATCCTCCTGGATCCGCCCTTGGTGCGTGAAGGGTGAGTCGCCCAATACTCCTGTATTTGCTCTTGGTGAGTGAGGGGTGCGTCTCCCCATCCTCCTGGATCCGCCTTTGGTGAGTGAAGGGTGCGTCTCCCCATCCTCCTGGATCCGCCCTTGGTGAGTGAAGGGGGCATCTCCACATCCTCCTGGATCCGTCCTTGGTGAGTGAGGGGTGTGCCTCCACATCCTCCTGGATCCGCCCTTGGTGAGTGAAGGGGGCGTCTCCCCATCCTCCTGGATCCGCCTTTGGTGGGTGAGGGGTGCATCTCCCCATCCTCCTGGAT